AGCCTAGGCCACTTGCCGAGGGAGGGGTCTTGCAGCGCGCTCATGTCCCCACTACCGCTAACGCGAGCCAGCATTATGTGTTATCACACGCATTTTACAGACCACTGAGTTCAAACGACAGGAAGATTTTCAGCAGGCCCCCAAGTAGATCTCTGAGAAGGCTCTTGTGCCATCAAGTTAATTAAAATGATGACCAGCATAATAATAGTAATGGTAATAACAATAGTTCATGTCTGTTCAGCCTTTCCTGTGTGCCATTGTAAATTTCACAGGAGGAGAGGGGAACCCTTATCATTTCCACTAAAGATAAAACTGAGGCCCCTGGCTGTCACTTGCCTCAGATTTCAGAGGGCATGGGGGGCAGAGCTGGAATTTGAACAAGGTCTGTCTGACTCAGGGCCCCTGGACCCCTCTGGTTCCCAGCCTGGATTCTGATCCTGTTCTTGCTTTCTGCCAGCCCCGACAACCTCTGTAAGATGGGGCTCCCTCATGGGGCTAAGGTGTAAAGGTGCTTTGTGACCCAGGGCCAAGTTTGCAGACACTGGAAAGTGGCAGTACCACCAGGCAGCTCAATGTAGGTCTCTTAAGGGCTGAATGCTATTGCTACCTCTTAGAGCTGTGAGACCCTAAGCAAGTCTCTGGCCTTTCAGAGCATCCACCTCCCCATGGTGTGGCTGAGTATTAGGTGAGATCACAGCAGGAGTCACCTAACTCTCACTTTATCCCTTCCTGGCTATAGGCCTACTACCTCCCAGCATCTCAGTCTACCCCTCGACAGAATGGGTGCATAGTGAGATCCCCTGTGGCACTGACTCCTCTGTGGTCCGGGAGTTGGTGCTTGTGCTCACCTGCCCATCTTCTTGGAGGAGGAGGAAGAGGAGGAGGAGGAGGAAAAGGTCTTGGTTTGCACCATGGTGCTGCCACTGCCATCTGCAAAAAAAGAGAAGGGGAGCTGAGTGAGGGCCCAGACTGGACATTAGGAGATGGAGTGAGAGGCTGTGTGGAGGGATGTTGACATCTACAGGCAGAGAGAAAGGTGATGGCCCAGTTGAAGACATGGAGAGAGAGCTTGAGGAAGAGCCCAAGGAGGTGGGCGGGCAGGCAGGCACAGGGCAACGCCAGGCAGCCTTACTCTCCGAGCGCCTCACAAAACTTGACTCCACTGTGGTGGTGCGGGCTGTCCGTGTGCCGTCATCTGGAGGGGCAGGGGATGAGAAGAAGGATGTTAAGAGGCATGGGGGGTCTGGGAGAGGATATGTTCCCACCCTGAGCCTTAAGCCCTGAGCCCCGGACCCCTTACTGGAGTGGACGAGCCGCTCAGTCTTGGTAACAGTGCTGACAGCTGAGCCATCGGCCGCCCGCTGGCTGTGCCTCGTGGTGGTCTCAGTGGCCATATTGCTGCGGCCCTCCCCTGGCCGAGCCCGTGCCTCCTGCAGCCGCCGTTCTCGCTCCTTATCCCGCTGGTCTGGGTAGGGGATGCCCCATGCGTGCACAGAAGGGCCATCCAATGCCCACACAGCACATATGCACAGGCACATGGGGCACACAAGATGGGGTGGAGGGTGGCTTGTTAGAAAGGCTAATAACACCCGACAGAGGCCTCTCTAGAAGCAGTTGGGTGTGGGGGTATTGCCAGACTTGGCAGGGAGTGGGGTGTGGGAGGGGGCTGACAGACTGAAGCAGAAATTAGGGAATATGGAATAGCTGGACTCAAAAAGGTGTTTGGATCCAAGAAGGGAGATTCTATGGAATGAGTAGCTGAGTCAAGAGGGAGTATCTAGATTTGGGGAGAGAGTAGCTGAGTCCAGGGAAGGAGAAGCTGGGTAAGGGCAGTAGCTGACTTGGCCATTAAATGTGTCTTTGGGGGAAGAGCAATGGATCCAGACTCAGGTAGTAATTGGAGGGATGTGAGAAGCAATTTGATCCAGGAAAAGTCATTGGGAGAGAAGCTAGTGAAGGGGTTAACTAGGCCTAAAGAAGAAGATGGTGGATGGGGACAGAGGCCGGGGTGACCATCAGTGGGCCCTGGAGGAAGCAGCTAGATTCGGAGGAGTAACAGAATGCTTGAGAGGAGAAGCAAATGAATTTAGAATCTAAGGGAAAGAATAGCTGTATCCAGGGAGGAAGAATCTGGGGAGGAAGTAGCTGTGTCCAGGAAAGGGGAAGCTGGGTGGGGGTAGAGACAAAGGTGGCTATCAGCTATAGACCTCAAGGGGAAAGGAGGGGAGAGGAGCAGCTGGGAAAGAAGTATCTGGATTTATGGAAGCAGTCATTGCAGTCATTGATAGTACTTGAAGAAACAATTGGATCCAAGGGGAGAGTAGCTGAGGGAGGGAGTAACTGGGTCTAGAAAGGAGAAGAGAAGCTGTTTGAGGACAGCAACTGTGGCCAGAGGGAGAGAACTGGCTAGGGAAAGGAGAAGCTGGATCCAGGGGGAGGGAGGCAAGGGAACAGCTGGGTCTAGAGAAGCTGGGTAGGACATTTACTGAGCTGGAGTGTCCACAAATGGACCCTAGAGTATGAGGGGAGTAGCTGGGGAATGAGGCAGCTGGATCTAGAGTAGGGCAGGGCAACTGACTTCTACCTCTCTTCCTTTGTCGGAGCTCACGAAGTGCAGCCCGGATAAGCTTCCGCTCTTCAAAGTCTGTGGTTTGATCCAGCTGCATATAGAGCCCTTGTCATTGCCCACCAGTGCCTCCTGGTCCCTGCCCCCTGCCAATTTCCAGCCCACCAGATTTGCCCATACCATCTTGTCTAAGACTCCTTCATCCTCAATAGCCATCAGCTCCTCGGATCTCAGTGGGCTCCGCCCCTCTGGTGCTTTGTCCACCCGGGTCTGCTCAGCACCATTGGCTGCTTCCACTGCCACAGAGGGAGGCTCTGCTGGCTCTGGTTCCATCTGTGGGGTGGGGAGAGGACATGGACTTTAAGCAGGTGTGTGGGCAAAACTCATCATATCCCTGATGGACAGGCAACCAGATCCTGGGGCTGCTGGCACAGCCTTGAAAACAGACACTAGCCTGTCAGCCTGCCTGTCCAAGGATGGCCATGCTGGTGTCAGAATCAGGAAAGAGACACTGACAGTCTTGTTGTAGGGCTTCTTCTGTACCCAGAATCATATTAACATAATTGATAGTAGCAATAATAGTGGTTCCCATTCAATAATAAGTATTGTATAAACACTAGGGATTTTACTGTCCCTATTTAACAGAAGGAAAAACTGAGGCTTGGGGCAGCTAAAAGACTTGCCCACAGTCCCTCTTAAGTGTGAAGCAGCCTGGGGTCTGAGTTCTTTCTGCTACTTCACCCCCAGCCCCCTCCCAGGCAGGCTCTGCTTTGTCCTGCCAGTTCCCAAGGCCTGGGTCCTTCTGGGTCAGTGCCCAGACAGCACATGCCACCCACCCCACCTTGCCAAGGGGGCTGGACCAGGGCCCGTAGGCTTCTGACCAGGTGCCTGACTGGGGCTGCCCTGAGCCAAGACCTCTCCGAAGCTCTCCTCTGTACCACCTCTCCCTGTCCCGTTCCTGCTAGAAACTGTCTTCTAAGGGGCCTCCAGCCCCAACCTCGCCCCCCACCCTCCCAGGGCATCTCTCTAGCCCCTTGAAGACAAGGCTGCAGACCAACTATTACAGCCCCTCCCATCCTGGCAGGGCCTCTCTGTCTACTATAAGGGTAAGGAGAGCCGAGGTGGCAGCTGTTTCAGGAAGGCTTGGCCTTCTGGGTTGCGGGTGGCTGGGGGTGGGGCTGGGGACTGAGCCATGATAGGGGCTGCCAGGGCAGCTGCCATGCGTACCTCAGGGCTGAAGTCTGACACCCTCTCACCCCAGTCTTGGAGTACTAGTGCCCTGGTCCCCTGTACAGATAGGTAAACTGAGGCTTGGAGAAGGTGGTAACCCACCTAAGGTCACAGCAGAAGCAGAGCCTGGCTCAAAGCCACCCCCTCCCACCAGCCCAGAGGGACTTACGAAACTACTGCTGCGGGCGGTGCCAGCGGAGGAGCGGCGGCGGGTGCTGAAGGCAGGAGGGTGGGCCACGGGGGTCCCGGCATCCTCAGCTGCCTGGAAGAGGGCTTCGGGATCGGCAGCAGCCAGGAGCAGCTCGCTGGGCTCCAGCTCAGGCTCGAGGTCAGGCACAAGCGGGACCCCCAGCCGTAGGCTCAACACCTCCACCTGCCTGCTCAGTGCGTCCAGCCTCCGGCTCAGTGCCGCTGTCTCCGCCCGCAGCTCTTCGGCTGCCCGGGCCACCGGCTCCACAGTGGCCACAGCTGCCTCGGCTGCTTGGGTCACTGCTGCCCGTCCTGCCTCAGCCACTGCCTGCAGCTCCTCCAACGCCTGGCCCAACCGCTCCTCAAGGGCTGCAGCCAACTCAGGCCCAGGCCCTGGTACCCCCGGCATGGTGCTGGTGGGGACTCTATGGGGAGTAGTGGTGGAACAGTGGCAGGGACTGCTGCCTCAGGCTGGCAGGGTCTGAGTCTTGCAGCTGGTCTGAGGGCGAAGGCAAGGGCAGTGGGCCTGCCCCGCCCCTGCTGGCCTCCCAGCCTGCCACCAGCCAGCTGGGGCTGTGGCCCAAATAGAAACCTATTCTGGGCTTCTCCATGGAAGGGACAGAGGGGGAGGGGCAGCCTGCCCAAGCAGGCAGACAGCCAAACCTGGCTCTAGCCTTGCAGAGATCACAGACCCGCAGCGCAGCAAGACTGCATGGGTTCTGAAGGACTGTCAAGATCAGGGCCCCATATCTCACAGGTAGGGAAACTGAGGCCGAGAATGGGCCTGTCTGAACCACCATATACATTAGCTGTGAGGATTCACTTTTCCAGACCCCAGAGCCTGTGCTACTTTGCCTTCAGGATATGCTGTTCTAGAGAGCCTTGAACAGATGGGGGAAACGTAGGCACCGCAAGGCAGAACTTTGAACAATCTGCTATAACAAGTGTCTTGATCTGAGATAAATGTCCTCTGGCCTGCCTATGGTACTCAGATCCAACCATAGACTTTGAGCAAGCACATTATAGGTATACCATCAACTCCCCCTTGGTTCTAGATGGGTAAACTGAGGCAAGTTGGTAGCATCAGACCCAGGTCTCACTGTAGTGCTTCGCATCCACTTCCCCTCACCCAGTCCTTTGGCAGCTGGTCTCCCCATCCCACTCAATTCTTTGGCAGAAGGCACCTGGGTCTTGCCTTTTTAGAGGAAAGGTGCTTTCTTGTCCTCACTTTCTCCCTGTCACCCCTCGGAAGGCCCAAACCTGGCTCTAGCCATCTCACCTCAGCCAAAGTCCACTCAGTCCCTGGTTCAGCATAGAGGAGATTACCTGGGCAGCCAGCCGGCCCGCTGGGGATCCCTTCCCCGGCTGAGCTCCCAGCTAGTGGATCCTGGCCTTGGGAATGAATAATGGAAGGGTGCTGCGTATTCAGTTCCCGTGGCACCTGCTGCTGCCTCACCTGATTGGTGTCCCCCTGCCTGTCTGTCCCCCATCAATGCTTCTGTCCGGCCCCCACAGGGAGGTTGACGCAGATGCTAATCGCTAATCTCCAATCTCCTAATGGGCCAGGTTGATCTTGGATGAGCAGATGAGCTGCTCTATACCTCAGGCTGATGTCCAGTGTGGGGTAGATGCAGGGGCACTGGGGTAGCCACAGTAGACCCCTACCATCCCCTCTGAGCCTCAGTTTTCCCATCTGTTCATTAGGAATGAACCAACCAATTCTGGAGTAAGGATCAGAAATCAGCATGTGGGAAGCTTAAGGCCCGTACAGTGTGAGCTTCTGACACACCTAGTGGCTAATACACTAGGGTCTGGCCTTAGCTCTGCCATTGACTGTGAGCAGCCAGCTTCCCTTTTTGGGCCTCAGTTTCTCTGTGTGTGCAGTGGGGGAGGAGCAGAGCACACAGATCTTCCTAGCCCTACACCCTTAAGCACTCTATGTGAGGTTGATGGATAGTGAGGTTGGTGGAGTGAGGAGGAGCTCACCTTAATGCTGCAACCTCCTCGGCTACCTGGGGAGGCATGGCTGAAGCTGGTGATGTGCGTGACACTGCCCAGCCGGGCCAGGGTCCCAGGGCTGCTAACATGGGTGATGGTGCTCTTGCCCCCACTGCTGGTGCTGAGGAGGGTGGGGGGCGCCCGCAGCCCCAATGTCAGTTCTGGGTGGGATAAAGAACAGCTATAAAGATCATGGCACAAGGGCAATGCCAGCCAAGGTTGATGGTGCCCCTCATTCCCAGCGCACCCTTTGGAGATACCCTGAGCCCTGGCTGCAGCATCTGTTCTGTGTGCAGAACTGCAGCCACAGACACTCATCCCCAGCAGTGGGGAGGTAGTGGGGAGGCCTACCTGCCCTCTGGTTGCCTGTGGGCAGCAGCACCCGGCCCGTGGAGGCCTGGCCACGGCCATCCTTGATTTCAATGGTGAATGTGGTCTTCATACTGCCCCCTGGCTCGGCAGTGCCCACAGCCACGGGCAGCAGGGCACTGGGCTCCTCTGAGCAGGCCACAGGCCCCCCTGCTCCGTTTTCAAGGGGCCTGGCAGCCAAGCCCCGCCTCCTGGGGCCCTCCTCCTGGGGGCAGCTTCGAAGCTGAGCCAGGGGCTGGACTATTCCTCGTTGCTCCTTGCTGAACCGGGAGGAGGTGTCAGTGGGGCCCTGAGAGGTGGAGCCCTTGGAGGAGGAGGCAGGGGTGGTGCCAGCGAGGGAGGGGCCCAGGAGCCTTGCGGGGGTCGAGGGACCTAGGGCAGCTCGGGGTGGGCCTTCCTGGAGCCTGGCAGCCATAGGAGAATCAGATGTGAACTTGCGGACACGGTCCCTCACAGAGCCAGCTCGCTGGAATGGGGAAGGTCCGCTGGCAGTGGGGGCGGATTCTAGAAGAAGGGACAGGAGGGCTGTCAGTGGCTGGGTGGGATAGGGACTTCCAAGAGCCTGCAGTGGGGAGAATAGGCAGTACCTTGGTTCTGGGCTGGTTGGCGGGGGCTGAGCACCAGGGAGCGTTGGCAGGGCTGGGGTCCAGCCAGGTCTGGCATGTTGGGGAGGGGTGGTGGCCATGTAGGGGAAGAGAAAGGAGAATGCATGGTGGGGGGCCCACCTCTCATAACCCTCTCCACACCTCCCTAGCCTCCTAATCACTTCCTATACCCAAACCTTCCCAGCCTCCCCATCTCCCACGGCTCCGGCCTCCCCATTTTGCTGTATCTCTCTTATGGGCACCCCCAACCATGTGCTGACCCCAGGATGACTTGGACACTCCTGGGGGCTGGGTCTAGGCTTGGGCTGTAGGAAGGGTGCCCAGATCCTCCCTGTTGATGGGGATGGGGACAACCCCCCTGGCCAGGGCTGCCCAAGGCTCCAGCTGGGAGATGGGCTCACTCCCTTATTGGGGAGAAGAATGTGCCTAAGGCCTGTTGCCTTTCAAGGGCTGCAGGGAGGCCTCTGGCCATGGGGGGGGGAGCTGGTGAGGGGCGGGGATACCTCAGGGATGTGTTGAGGGGAGTGTCGGGGACTGCTTGGGCCTGAGAAGGCTGGAGCTGTCCAGGCATAACAGCCCATTCTCCAGACAGGGAAAGAGAGGCTGGAGGAGGGGAAGGCAGATGCTGGTAACTATCCCTGCTGGGACCCTCACCTGCTCTCTTGGCGTCACAGGGACCTCTAGTAGGGCCTTGGGCAGCAGAGGGCTCTGTGGGGTCAGGAAGGTGCTGCAGGGAGACACGGCATAGGCAGAGCCTGACTCCCAGTCCCAACTCGCCTTCCCCCTTATCCCCGCCCCTTATCCAGACTCACCTGTCCCTCGGTGCTGCAAGGGGCTGGAGACTCCTGGGGCTCAGGGCTGGTGGCCTTGGGTGGGCTGCGGGGTAGCTCAGGGCTGCCTGGAGCCTTGGCTGCAGGGCACTGGGCCTTGGCAGGCTCCAGTGGAGGCTCAGGAGAGGCAGTGGTGGGTGAACTGCTGAGTGAGGCAGGTGAGCTGGGTGTGTCTCCAGGTGGGGCCCGTAGCAGGAGTGTCACTGTGGTCACATCCTGGCTGGTGCCCTCTGGGGTCAGGGTTGGCTTTAGGACCTCTGCCTGCTGCTCCTGTTCCTCTCGCTCTGGCACCTGAAAGTGACCCAGAAGATGCAACCAAGACTCCTCAGGTCTCGAGTGCTAACCCCACCCACTGAAGGTCAGACTGGCAGGTGGCCCAGGCAGGGCATGCAAAGCAGAGGGGCTGGGCATGGCTTCCTGTAGGCACACCTGCATAAGCATTTGCACTGGCATGCTAAGGGCAGTCTCTGATCCCCACTTCTCTGTCTCTCTTGGCACTGCCTAGCCTAGTCAAAGATGGTTCAGGGGATGGTGGGAGACCTTAACAGATCCTTGGAGCGGGGGTTCCTTACTCCTGGCCTCAGCCAGGTTAATCAGTGGGTATGGGGTGGGATCTAGCGGCCTCTGCTGGCCACGCAGAGAACCTGCATGGCCTGACTTCTTACCCACACTCCCAGCTGGGGCGTTAAATGTAGGCCCCGGTAAGCCAAGGTATGCCAAGGTAAGGACATGGGCTGTCTGGAGGGTGAGGGGAAGCCTGGGGATGAGTTTAAGCAGGGGAAGTACCAGGGCCGGATTTGCATTACTGGGAGATCCCTCTGGTTGCTGATTGGAGGTTGGATGACAGGGTAGGGGTGGAAGGTAGGAGTGGAGGTGGGGGAAGTGCCTATGTATCAGCAAGAATGGTAATGGGAAAGGGACAGAAACTTGACAGCAGCGTAGGTAGATAGGCTGGTTTGTTATTGTTTTTGTTTTTTAGAGACAGGATCTTGCTCTGTTGCCCAGGCTGGTGTGTAGTGGCATGATCATAGCTCACTGCAACCTCCAACTTCTGGGCTCATGCAATTCTCCCACCTCAGCTTCTTACATAGCTGGGACTACAGGCATGCACCACCACGCCTGGCTAATTTTTCAAGTTTTTTTTCTTATGTAGCAATGAGATCTCGCTATGTTGCTCAGGCTGTCTCAAGTTCCTGGCCTCAAGCAATCCTGAACCTCCCAAACTGCTGGAATTACAGGCATGAGCTACCCCTATCCTCAGCAGATAGGTTGCTTTTGCAGGGGTGGCCTGGGCAGAGACAAAGTCTGGAGCAGAGGACATGTGGCCAGAGGTTGCCCAGAAGAGTGGGCAGAGGCCTGAGATAGAGCCCCAGTGTTCCCCAAGCACAGGCTGGAGGAGCCCCTAACAGTCAAAGACCAGTCTAACAAAGACACACAGGAGCTTTGTGCTGCTAGCATCGTGGGCGTAGGATGCTGGGCCACCCTCCCACCTTCCCCACACTCCTTACCTCACACTGTTCCAGCCTGTGTGCTCCCCGCCCCTTGCTGTCCTCTTGTGAGACACTGTTGGGACGTCTGCTGCACAACCTCCCAGCCAAGGTGGCAGCTAGAAAGGAAGGACAAATGTCAGGTGAGTGGCCTGGAGGTGCTGTGGGCAGCCTACAACAGGACAGGGGTGGGGCCAGGACAGGCCACTTACCTTCAATTTCCTGAGCCCGTACACGGCGGATGGCGGCGCGGATCAGCTTGCGTTCCTCATACTCACCAGCACTTCGCAACTGCAGGTGAGAGGCAGGCCATAGATGTTGGGCTGTGGAGTCCAGGTCTTCACCTGCCCTGCCCCCATCCCCTGCCCTGGCCTGGGCCTCACCAGCACAGTCAACTCCTCTACATCACTCATGGACTCCAGCCGCCCTGCCAGCCGTGCCAGGGCAGCCCGCTGCTCGGCTTCCTGCTGCTGAGAGCTGCAGAGACAGCATGACTGTAACCACCATTGCCGTGGCCAGGTCGTGGAGGATGTGGGCTAAGGGTAGGGACCAGAACAGAGTAGCTGGAGCCTTGGCAGAAGGGCATGTAGCTGTGCACACCCTCTGACTGCACACTGGTACATGTATGCCCATGAACATGGGCACTAATACCACATGCTTCGTACGTGCTGATCACACCAGCATGCCCAGGATGCCACAGTCAGCACACAATCCATGTCCACAAACATCGCTGTGTATTCCAAAAGTATCTGCACACACAGTCAGGAGACACATTTGTGCTCACACCTGCCTGCACACATGAGCTGAGTCTCTTACCCTCTCACCCACATGTCCAACCCCCACCACTCACTGCAGCCAGTTCTCCTTGTTGTCCTGTCGCTCGGCACGGAAGCGCTTAGATGCCAGGGCCTCCTCCTCGCGCTCCAGCTCCTGTCGCTGCAGCTCCCGGATGGCCGAGCGGATGCGCCGCCGCTCTGCCAGATCCACTGTGACCTCCAGCTGCAGTGCAGGCGGGGGCGAGGAGCAGGTCATTTTAGCTGCCGGGGTGGAGGGCTGGCACCAGCTGCCCACGGCTCTGCCTGGGGCACAATGCGCGGCCTGTGTCTGCTCCCTCTTCTCTAAGCCCTTCACATGCCTGCCTGTCCACCCAGGGTCTCAGGGGGAGACCTAGCCCATCGTGTCAGGGCTCCTGGGGAGCCCATGTGCACTGTGGCTCACAGAGCACTGACTATGAGTGAGCAGCCAGCAACCGCCCACCTGTAGCAGGTGGCAAGTCACGCTGTTCTTCCTGCAACACCACTCCTGCCCTGCGGTGTCCTTCATCAACTCCTCCCCACCCTGAGCGCCAGGGAGCCACTGCAGGAAGAAGAGGGAGGCTACCCTGTGGGTCACTAATTGTGTCCCTGGAGAAAGAAGGGTGATTTGTGCAGCCGGAGTCCACCTTATGACTAGGTAGACTCCCGTGATCTAGTCCCAAAGCACCACAGCCCTGCTGGGAGTTAGCTACCTTATCCAAAGATGGAGAAACTGAGGCAGGGGCAGGAACTCAGGAGTCCTAGCTTCCTGCCTGGCTAAGGGCTTTCCCGCCCCCTGCACTGTCCTGGCCCTGGCTAGACATTGAAGGAACCAGGGTCCAGAGTGGGAGTGTTAGTCCACCAGACAGATAAGGCAGCTGGCACTAGGAGCCACCCAGGGCCCTAAAGAGGGTGTCTCTGGGTGACAGGTGTTCCCACCAGCTTCTCAGCCCCTCTGTCCTGGGAAACAGTAGCCAGGTCTAGGAAATAGCACCTTCTCTGCGCCTCCCCTACAACTTCACCCCCATGGATCCTCCATAGTTCAAGAAAGAGATGTTTGGCCCAGGGCCCCCAAGGAAAATAATGGCAGAGATAAGCCTCCAGTGTGGGTCTGATAGCCAGATGGAAGCAAGTAAAGGCAGTGAGGTGGAGGCGAGAAGATCGCCTGAGTCCAGGAGTTTGAGACCAGCCAGGGAAAATTGGTGAGACCTCATCTCTACAATAAATAAAAAATTAGCTGGGCATGGTGGCATGCACCTGTAGTTCCAGCTATTTGGGAGGCTGAGCCAGAAGGATCACCTGAGCCCAGCAGGTTGAGGCTGCGGTGGCTGTGAGTGTGCCACTGCACTCCAGCCTGGACAACAGGGTGAGACTCCAGCTCAAAAAAAAAAGGCACAGTGATTTCTGGTGTTCCCACCCCCAAATCATTCAGGCATAGGTCAAGGAATCCTCTATCCCCTTCCTTTTTAGCCCCTCCCCTCCTCATAATTTCTTTCTGCTTAGTGGGGAAGCTAGGAGGCGGGGGTGGGAGCTGGGGAGGAGAGTTTTCAGCAGGGGGTGTGGGCTGGCTCAACTCAGTCATGAACCAACTTGTCCTAGTCTGAAGAGAATAGATCATCCAGGTGTGGTGGCTCACACCTGTAACCCCAACTACTCAGGAGGCTGAGGTAGGAGGATTGCTTGAGCCTATAGTTCAAGACAAGCCTGACCAACATAATGAGACCTTGCCTCAAAAAGAGAGAGACCAACCTGGGCAATTTGGCGAGACCTCATCTCTACAATAAATAAAAAATTAGCTGGGCATGGTGGCATGCACCTGTAGTTCCAGCTATTTGGAAGGCTGAGGCTGAAGGATCGCCTAAGCCCAGCAGGTTGAGGATGCAGTGGCTGTGAGCATGGGCAACAGAGTGAGACTCTGACTCAAAAAAGAAAGAGTGAGAGAAGAGGGAGAGAAGAGAGAGCCTTGGGGCCAGAGCCCCTGAAGCTCAGGTGCCAGCCCCAATCCAGTCCTGGCGGTGGTCAGGGGCACATCCCTTAAATTCTCTGTCGTGGTTTTCTCATTTGCTAGATGAGACAATGGCCCCCACCTCAGGCAGTGGGTGAGGATGGGGGTAGCGACCTCCTACACAGCTGCAGATGCAGTACGCATCATCTCCCTACTTGGCTCCAGTCAGGAGGAAGGAGAGAAGAGGGCAAATGGAAAGGAAAGGATGCCCAGAGACATCAGTAACATTTACTGAGAACCTGTGTGTCAGACCCAGTGCTGAGCCCCCACTTGTCCTAACTCCACAATAACCTTAGATACTTTATTATTCCCATTTGACAGTTGAGAAAATGGAGGCTCAGGGTGGAGAAGTTACTTGTTCCTGGCTAAGTGACCTGAGCCAGGATTTGAACCCACGTCTCTCCTGCCCCAGACTGAAGACAGTTCTGCAACTGGAGTTTGTCATGGTAGGGACCTCAAAGACCCTGACACTGTGTTGCGAACTCCTCTAGCCTGGAATAGAGATGCCCTGAGACCTAAGGGGACCTACTACTGCAAAGGGTGGGAAAATGAGGCTCACCTCTCCACTCCCCCAGTCCTGGCCTTGCCTCAAGCCCAGAGCTCCCTGTAGTACATTTGGAGGTTGGGGGCCTGAAGGGACAGCTGACCCAGCCCCTACTGTGCAGAAGGTAAAAAGGACCAGAAGTGCAATGACTAGCCTTTTGTCTCCTGAGTCCCAGAGATGGGGTCCTGTCCCTGAAAAAAGCCTGATGTGGGAACTTGGCCGCCTCTACAGTGCAAGCCCTGGGAGCTTCAGTGTCCCCATCTGGAACATGGGAACCTCCCTCTGATTCCCCTAAGCGGGTGGGGCAAGGCTGGGGACTGACAGCTTCATTCTACCGGTCGCCCTCTGGCACGACCTTTCCCTTTGCGGGCCTGGAGGCAAAGGTTGGGCCACAGTGTCCCTGCTGTGTGTCCTGCTCCCTCCCGCCCTCTCAGGCCCCCGCTGCTGTGTAAGGAGGGGGCTGTGGGAGGGAGGGAAGGAAACACAAAGCGCCATTGTCCACCGAGGGGGAAGGGGAAGGGGTTGGGGCGGTTTCCGAAACTGCCCTGTGAAATTCTCCCGGGAGGAAAGAGGGTGCTTCCTCCTCCCGGGGGGCAGGGCCTCTGGGTCTTGCTGCAGGAGACGTCTGGCAGGCCCTGACGTCCCTCTGAGCTTCAGTCTCCCCATCAGAACAAGGAAGGGGATTCTCCAGGCATCCTCTCGGTCTCAGCGCCCCTCGTTGCCCACGGGGAAGCCGGCAGGGAGCGAGGCCTCGCCAGGGGGCG